GAGATGGTGTTTCGAGCAGAGCACTAAATTAACAGCTGACATACACCCTGTTCACGTTCTCATAATTAAACGGCATTTAACAGGGAATCCTTCCTATTTCTGTTTTATGTGTTTATAGCCTGGTAGCTCAGTGGTAAAGAATCGGCCTGCCAAGCAAGAGATGCAGGTTTGATCCCTGAGTCGGGAAGATCCCCTGGAGAAGGAAATGGCAATCCATTCCAGTATCCTTGCCTGGGAAATCCCCTGGACAGAGGTGCCTGGTGGGCTACAGTCCATGGGGTTGTCAAGAGTCAGACACGAATTAGCAACTAACAACAGGCAGTACACAGCAGGCTATGGTGAGGACAGCCCTATGCTCCTAGTGGTCGGCTGCAGTCACCAGTCACGCTGATGTTATTACAGTGCCCCCTTTCACTCTCAGAAATGTCCCTGTTTGGAGGATAAAAATGTGGTCACACAAACTCTTCACATACTATTTTCTGTCAAATGATTCCCACTGGTAATAGAAACACAATGGATACAGACACACAAATCTGCTTGAAGACAGCCCAGGTGTGGAGGGGTCCAGATTCAGGAAGAAGTGCAGCCTGAGCTGCTTTGCTCCGTGAAGCATTGTTTGGTTTGTAGGTGGGAGAAACCAAAAGGCTGAAAAGCTGAGCCAAAAGCAATAGTTCTCAAGAGTGATATATGATTTTTAAAATGTACATCTGGGTTTGTCTAAAAGAGCTCTTTTAATACATACAAAACAAAAAGTCTGATATGAAAGCACAGTGTTGTTAAAATGGCAGCATCTTTTCTTTCTTTAATATCACATGAAGTCACGGTACATTTTATAGGATAGGGCAAATTATATTTGATGAAATATGGTGTATTTGTTCCCATGTTTGAATGTCTCTATGGCAGAGATTCCTGGAAGTGGAACTGCTGGGTCAAAGGACATGTATTTGATAGATTCTGCTTAACTGTCTTAAAAAAACAAAAAGACTGAACAGTATCCATTTCCCCACACTCTAATACTGAAATGCCATCAGTCTTTAAATGTTTTTCTCCTCTGACAGACTCTCACCATCATTTCAGCTTTTATCTGGTGTCAAGGGAATCTGTACTTTCCCAAATTGTCATGTTCTTCTCCTGTGTGTAACTGGTTCAAATCTGCATCACACTTCCCTAGAGCTTGGGCCATAAGACCTACACATCTTTCTCCTCCAAAGGGCAAATAAAGGATCATTTCTCCATGTGGTGCTGGTAAGGATCATGGACTATTAGGATAGGAAGGGATTTTAGATGTTGCCAAATCCTAGAAGTTCTGAAAGACATTCAAGATGGTTCTCACTGTTACAGGTGATAGAGCATCTTCTCTATTTCTACTTAGAAAAATAATAAAAGAATTCTACACTCAACCTCTTGCCCCATGAATGTGAGGTCACTCTGGGAACATCTGATGCCTGCTGACCAGCACCTGCAGTGGTCCTTGAATACCAGGTGTGTGTTTAAGGTTCAGCCGCAGTCGTGGGTCCTAAGTGGTGAGTTTTGACTCCTCTGCAGCACCTAAGATCATATATTGCTTCATATACAACCATAATGGAATGCTGGCTAAAAACATCAAGTATAAAAAGTTTGCTGAAATAAAGTAAAAGAAGACCATAAAATGAAAATTCTACAAATCTACTTCAAGATGATCTTCATGTACTTGATGTGCAAATTGCATTCGGCTAATCAAAATGTTTATCTTGTATGTCAGAAGCAAAAACCAAAAAGACAAAATATAGTGATCATTATATCCAATTTGGTCTTTCATTATTAGGAATAAAGACCAGCCATACCCACTTCATGTTATTTGCAGAATGGTGCTTACACATAGCAGCCAGAACCCTTCTGTTTTAGCTCATCATTTAGACACAAAAAACATGAAAGTAATAAAAATAAGCCAGTTTTTAAAGTGCAAAAAGCATAAATTCTAAACATTCATTTAGGAAAGCAGTTTGTGTCTATTTTTGATGCTACAATGAGTCATTACATTTCATACATTTTAATATACACTTGTCCTAAGACCAGTATATGCTCTTTTAAAGACTGTTAACAAAGCATGCTTTTCCTTTACATAAAGTAAAAAAAAAAAGTAAATCAAACATTTTGCATTACATGATAAATGGGAAGTTGAAACTAGTCTTATGATACTATGGATATTACTCAAGTTTATTTTAATATCATACATATATCTAAAATAAGTTTTAAGAATCACTTCTTTGTTACACATCACACAAATTATTACATGATTAAATCATCACAAGCTGTTGTCAAGAGTATACATGGTAAAAGGAATTTTCCAGTCAAGATAGGATAGGAAACTCTTATCTGGTTTAGACCTCACAGTTAACAAATGAGGAAACTGAGGCCCAGAAAGGGTAAGAGATTGACTTAAAGTCACACAGCCAGGAAAGGCCAGACTCAGACTTTAGTTCAGTGCTCTTTAGGATGGGTGTGTATGAGGGTAAGTGATTTGAAGGTCTCAGTATACTTGTTCCTGCTGAAAAATCTCTCTAGTAGCAGAGGTTCTGACACTACCCTCTCTAGGTTCAGCACTGCCCTCACCAGGTTCCTCCTTCAGAGCCCTAATTTCCTTGGGGATTAATCTATTTTAGTTCTAAAAGGCCCTAATTGGTGTTGCCTTCCATTCCTGTGCAACCAGTCAGTCAATATCTGCTGAACCAAAACTGTAAAGGGTCTCATACAAAGCAATATCTGCTTGAACCAACACAAGATCTGAAAGTGAAGCGTGGAAAGGGAAGTTGGACCACCAGGGGGCTACCTTTGCTCCTTATAGTTCACCAGAAATATTCCACCCGAGGAGCTAGCAGCAAGAAAAGAGCAGACTGCAAATGCTACTGGATCTGAGAAGATGCTGTGTTGGAGTCCATAACTTACTTTCTTGTCTTTCAGGAAATTTACCCCTTTCAATTTAGGGGAAAAATTATTCCCACCTGTGGGCAAATCACACCTTTACCTTTAGAGCTTGTTCCATGTTTTAGGAGGGACTTATTTCAAAGGCTTACTCTTTGCTGTTCTTGATTTACCAAGGACCCGGCAAAGTGGGCTCCAAGGAGCCCTAATTCTGGCGTTTTGTAAACAGTTCTGCATCCACCATCAGCCTGGTATCCGAAGGGATCTTGCAGGGGTGTTGACCATCCTTCCTGAGCTCTGGATGTGTCTCCCATAGTTCAAAAACCATCTGGAGAGGCTTACCTATCTCCTTTCCCTGGGTACACAACACAGTATGCACAAAACATTGACCTTCCTGAAAACACCCCCTTCAGAGGCCCCTACCTTACCCAGAGCCTGTGTCTATCACCTCATCCTCTGCCTGATCATTCTAGTCTCTTCTGCTCCAATTTCTAGACTTTTCTACAATCCTACTCTTGACTTCATCACCCAAACACAACCTGTTAATGACAGTCATCATCATCAAGATGATTGAGCTTCCCTGGCGGCTCAGAGCTTAAAGGTTCCCGCCTGCACTGTAGGAGACTGGGGGTTCAATCCCTGGGTTGGGAAGATCTGGAGAAGGAAATGGCAACAGGCTCCAGTATTCCTGCCTGAAGAATCCCAAAGACAGAAGAGCCCTGGCAAGCCCGTCCATAGGGTTGCAAAGACTCCGACATGACTGAGCAACTTAACACTTACCTTCCCTTCATCACGGTGATTATGCATGATCGTTATTCTGCCCCCATCCCTTGCTCATGCTGGTTTTGAAATTTATTGACATAGTGTTCTCTTGTTTGTTGTCCTGGCTCTCCCAGGAAAGCAGAGGTCATCAAACAGGGTGACCAACATGCCAACAGAAGCGCAGGAGACAATCGATGGAGGGAATCCGAGAGGGAAGGGATGGGGGGATTTGGTGGAGGAGGCTGCTGCTAAACTCCCAGAGGTTCTCACTAGAGTTATCAATCAAGGATAACAGACACAGTGCCTAGAACTCTCCAGAATGTTTACATTAAAATTTTTTGAGATCAGAAAAAATATAATAATAAATGTAATGATAAACCCAGCCTGGATTATATTTGTGTTTTATAGCAGCAAAACATAATTTAAAAAACTTTATTTTTTTTAAACGGAAAGGGCTCACAAAGACGAAGTGCATAAGGCGCGGGATAGTCATAATTAAGTCCTGGGTACGGTTTACACTTTCTGTTTTTAAAAAAGAAATAGATATCCAGATATTTGTATGAGACCTCTTGATTTTACATATTAGGAACTCGCTTTAAACAAAACATACATTGTGTGGCCCAACAAAAGAGGTGGAACTTAGCCTGCAGCCTCTTGAAGACTCGGGCTACGATCGTGTCGCCGGAACGCCCGTGGCTTGACAAGATTTCGGGGACACTTCTTCAGTCTGAGTGCCCGAGCACCCCACTCAGGACAGAGTCAGGGGGAGTAAAATGCCTTCGGGACACAACAAGGGTCTGACGGCTAAATCCCCGCCCAGTCCAGTGTTGGAAGCTCGAAGGCCACTTCGGCCCCGGCTCTCTCTGGAGCCTCAACCGGCGGTCGCGGGCTTTGCTCGCTCGCGGGTTTCCCGGCTCCCACCGACTTCCAGGGTTAGGGGGTGGGGTCTTCCCGCTCACCAGGCTGGCTGGAGCATGAGGCAGGGACAGTCGTCCCGGACACCTACGGTCCCGGAGCCCAGGCCGCCCCCCTCCGCCCCATCCCTCGCAACAAGGCCAGCCCGCCAGCCGCAGCCTGTCTCCTGGGTTAGACCGGCTCCTCGCGGGGTCTGCTACCGGAAGGCGAAGCTCCACACCGAGGACTAGGAGGTGGTTTTAAGACCGCAGCGGCCAGGGCTCCTCCTCCCGCGCTGCTCAGGGAGGCGGGCTGAGCTCTTCACAAGGCCCTGCCAAACGAGCCCGCCATTCCAGAAGGAGACTTCCGCAGCCTCCCCGCCTTCTCTCGGCCGGGAGCTGCCGGACCGGAAGCTGCGGGGCCTCGGGGCCCCGGCTAGTTCCCGCCGAGCCGCGAGCCGAGGGTGCGCATGCTCCGCAGAGGCCCGCACGGGGCCTGAGTAAACCCTGATAGAGCCATCGCGAGGCGGGGTAAGCAGAGCTCCAGTGGCGCAATCGGTTAGCGCGCGGTACTTATACAGCAGTACATGCAGAGCAATGCCGAGGTTGTGAGTTCGAGCCTCACCTGGAGCATGACCCTTTTGGATACCCGCACGTTCCCCACTTTTACTTCCGTGCTCAAGGAAACGGACAGTCTCTCTTTACTCTCCTCAGTTCCTGTCTCTGACTGCTCTGTGAGCATGTCCTGCTCCGCGGCAGGCAGGAAGCCGCTAGTATCCGCTCCTCTCACTCCCTTTCCAAGCTACTTGTTGCCTCCCGGGAACCATCTAGCAGCCTGAACCCGGACGTTTACCTGCTGCTCCCTCTCCCTAGGCATTTCCATTAACGGCACCCACTCCTCGATCCCGGTACCGGGGATGTGGACCGCGGTAGCAGAGCGCTGCACCGGTGATGGGGCCCTACCTGGGTCTCGTCATCGAAAATTCCGACTCCCTCTCTACGGGGCTTGCCCGAGCTTCCGGAGCCGGTTCCCGGCAGCCGCCCCTCACCCAGGAGCGGGAGCGGCGGGGTGCGCGTTGGATGGCGGGAGCGACCACTCCCGCGAAGCCCAGAGCGGGAGCGGTCGCTGTCCTCCTTTTTAACTACTACTAACTGGTCGTCGCCCCCTCCCTCGGATCTGCAGAGCCCCTAGACGGCGGGCCCTTCTCCCCTCCGCAGGCCTCCCTGGGCGGATCTGCGGGGTTTGGGAAAAGTGCCTGGGCGTTTCCCTCCCCGTTTGTGCCCCTTCTCCCGGTGTCAGTCAGGACGGGTGGAATTCGCTGGCAGACGGGAGAACAGACGTTTTCTAGGGATATCTTTTCCTACCCGCCGCACACCCCATGTTCAGAAATACCCCCCCCGGAACCAAGAAAACCGCCAACCGGAATTGGAAAGGTCCAACAACGGAAACCAACCCCGAAGCAACGGGGCCGCCTTGCCAAGAGAAGGGGGGCCCGGGGCGGCCCCAAAACCCCCGGGGGGTGAGGCGAAGTGGGGAACAAGAGTAGCTGGGATGAGAGGCCTCCCGGACGCGTTCTCCCATAAGCGTGGTTTCAGCTGTTTTTATGGGGTGTGCTAGTAAACTCCTGGGATGGAAATACTATCAGGAGTGCTGAGAAGAAAGACCTAGAAAGCTCTGAGAAAGTGGGCGGAAATCTCGTCTGTCCTCTCGGCTACTAACCCCAGCCCCCCATTCCGAAAGGGGAGCCCCACACTACCTGGAATGTGAGAAAGTCCACCCGCGTCACCTAACCTGGCTGGACCAGACGCTTTCGCTCACCGGCTCATCCTCTGCAGATGGTGAGGGCTCCCCTTTAGAAATCTAGCCAGCCTGGAAACAAATATCTATCTGCCACCCCAACACAAAAAATTTGCTTATTTTTAAAAAAATAGCTTTATCGAGATATAACTCATATACCCTACCATTCACCTATTTAAAGTTTGCAGTTCAATGGATTTTAGTACTTTCACAGATAGGTGCAACCAGCAATCACCACAGTCAATTTTAAAGTATTTTTATCGACTCAGTAGGAAATCCTGTATCCTTCAGCTATGACCCCACCCCACCCCTAAATAATCACTAATTTATTTTCTGTCTCTACATTTCCCCTTTTCTGGGCCTTCATATGAATGGAATCATAATGTGTGGTCTTTTGTGACTGGCTTCTTTCAATGTTTTCAAGATACATCCTGTCCTAGCTTGTATCAGTACTTTCTTTTTTTTAAAATCTATGACTGGATAATATTCCATTGTATGGATTCTTTACAATTTTGAATAGAGAAAAGGCTGGCATTTAAAAAACATTTGCTGAAAATTTTTTAAAAAGGAAATTAATGTTAAAATGTACAAAGCATAAAAACAGTCACACTTGCCAAGTGTGTATTTTTAACTTTCAGAGGTTACCATTGCAAGAACTGGTCAGATATTTCCAAAAGCTCAGCTAAGCTTTTGGAAATAAGCTTTTGGGCCCACGTGGGCCCCCCACGTGGACAGAAACAAATGAAAGAAAGATCATTCTGCCCAACCCCCTGTCCACACTGGGAATCCCCTCTACAAAACCCCAGCTCCTGTTTGAAAAGTTTTAGCATCAGCATTTCATTTCTTCTCAAGGTGATGCATTCCACTTTCTGTCAACTCTAATGGTTAGAACATTCTTCCTCTTAAATATTGTTTCTGTCCCTACAGGTTATTGCTGGAATGATGGTGGTTTGGGGAACTCTTTTTCTGGTGAGGCGCTGAAGTGGGAAGGTAAGAAGCTAAATTAGTTGTCCTTGCTCTATTTAAGCTAGAAATCACCAGATAGATTATTAGTGGATTACAAACAAACAAATAGACCACTGGCAGATTTGTAGGTCAGTGTCTTAATGTGAGGTTGATAGGTCTTTTAAAGGTTGTGAAGAGTGATAGAGATCAAGTCAGAATATTATGGAAACATGCTATAAACACCATAAAGTACTGCATATACAGATATAAGGAGGTGGCATTCCTATCACCACAAAACTAGTGGATTAGACCTATATGCAAGGAGGAAGATGGATAAGAGTTGGATAAACTCTGAAGGCAGGGTGAAGTTATAGCTGAATAGCTGTAGCTGTCTAGCCGGAGGGAAGCCTGACCCGCCCATTGAACTCTACTGAACTATACACACAGGTTGACATTAACTTTGTAGATGGCTTTGGATAGGCTAATTAAAATTGTGTTTGATACAAAGAGCTGGAAGGGAGTGCAAATTCAGTAGAATTTGAAGGTAGAATAAGAGACAAATGTTTCTGACAAGTGACAAGATGCAGTTTGATAGAGATAATTGTAAGCCTGTGTTCAGTTCAGAGTTCAGTGTGGTCAGTGCCTGGCTTGATAGCTGTTTGCATATAAAGAATCTGGGCATATTGGATATGCACAACCTCACTTGTCCTGGTCCTGTGATTCAACTGCTGAGAATGTCATCCGATTATTAATGCATTACTGCATAATGCATTACATGGTGTGGTGTCAGAGATTATAAAACAGCAGTCTGTGGAACAAGTCTAGCCTCCAGACAGGTTTTGTTTGGATTTCCAGCACTGATTTGTAAAGTGTTGAAAAAATTATAATCATTTGCACATTCGGAGATTTTACTGCAATGCCTAGATTTCAAGTTTTCGATGAAAAATTAGAAGACTTGTCTGTCTCGAGCCCTTATTCCCACATGGCAACATTTCCCTCCCCTTTGGATGAACATGTATGTGATCTTCCGTTTGTCATGGCCCTACAACTCCCCACTCATTCCCAACACAGAGGTGGGTACCAACTGCCCCTGTTCTATCCACTTCACTTGCTTTGCTGTTTTCTTCACCACTGACTCATTCCTCTCATTTGTGACCGACAGTCATTGAGTATGTGGGTCAAGATAGGGAATACTCACGTTGAACTCAACCTGATGGCTATCACCTGTGTGAACACAACCCATTTAAAATTCAACAAACCAAATCCCCAGTTCTTTATTATGAAAATTTTCAAACATATCCAAAGTAGAATAAATAGTATATTTAAAAGTAGAGAATATATATAGTTAATATATATCCATCCATCACTATTTTCGAGAATTGTCATTTATCTCATTCTCACAACATTTTCCCCTACCACAGTCACCAAAATATTTTAAAGGAAATCCCAGCTATGGTTTAATTTGACTTGTAAATACCTCAGTATGTGTACCCAACAGGAAGCCACTTTTTAAAAGAGCATAACCACAGTATCATTATTACACCAAACAAGGTTAATAATAGTGCCTCTACATCATCTAACACCTTGTCTGTGTTCAAATGTCCACACTTAGTTCTGAAAGATATTTTTACCATTGGTTTATTTGAATCACGAGCCAAGCAAGGTCCACATATAAATTTGATCAATATATCTTAAATATCTAAATCTTTCTCTCTCTTTTCATTTATACTAATTACCCATTCTCTTTTATGATGTTTATTTATTTTATTTTTAATTATTGGCTGTGCAGCATGTGGGATCTTAGTTGCCCCACCAGGGATCGAACCTGTGTCCCCTGTAGTGGAAGCCTGGAGTGTTAACCACTGGGTGGGTCACCAGGGAATTCCCTGATATTTGTTGATCTATAGAATTTCGCACGGAATTTGGCTAACTGAATAACAAGGCATCATTTCAAAAGTTCTTCAATCCCCCTGACATTTAAATCTAGAAGCTTGGTACTATTAAGATTCAAATTTAAAAAAAGTAGATTATAGGTGGTTCTATATACTATTGTATCACAAGAGGGAAAGTACATAATGGCTGGTTATTCTGCTTTTACTGATGATTTCAGGTGTGGTCAGCCTGGTCCATGCATTACGAAATGCCACATCAGCCTCTAACCTAATGATTTTTAGCAGCTGTTGATGCTCTGTCTAGATTTATTACTGTATTAAGGATTACTCAATAATGGTTCCTAATTCTATTATTCCCTCTGTATTTGTGACTGTGATACCTTAAAAAAAAACCAAAAAACCTTTTTTTCCATCAACTATTTGGTTTTCCTAAAGCACAATTCACAAAGAAAAGGTTAGATAATATTGCTGGACTCTTCCTTTTTCTACTAATATTTAGAATAATGTATTGATGCTCTAACAATTCCCATAGGTGACCAGTTAGTTTTTTTTATTCCACAGCTTTTTAAAAAAGGTATGTTTGACATACAATGAACTGCATTAATTGTTGTGGAGTAGCTTTTCTAGTGCTTTTAAATATTCAGATATCTTCTTTGGTGAATTATCCTTTAAAATCTTTTGCCTGTTTTTTATTGAGTTATTCATGTTTTTATTATTGAGTTATAAGACTTTTTGTATATTCTAGATATAATTCCTTTGTTGTGTATATGTTTTGTAACTAATTTTTCTCAGTTGTGGTTTGAGTTTTGTTTTTCTAAATGGTGTCTCTTGAAAAGCAGACTTTTAAATTTTGATAAAGTTCAATTTATCCATTTTTTTCAATTATGGATGACACTTTTGGTGTTATAGCTAAGAAATTTTTGCTTAACCCAAAGTCACCAAGATTGTAGTCTATGTTTTAGCTCTTACCTTTAGGAGTTCACTTTTGTGTATGACGTGAGTAGAGGTCTAAATTTTTCTTTTTTTGTGTATTGATATCCAATTCTGGCCAGAGAAGGCAATGGCACCCCACTCCAGTACTCTTGCCTGGAAAATCCCATGGATGGAGGAGCCTGGTAGGCTGCAGTCCATGGGGTCACTAAGAATTGGACAGGACTGAGCGACTTCACTTTCACTTTTCACTTTTCATGCATTGGAGAAGGAAATGGCAACCCACTCCAGTATTCTTGCCTGGAGAATCCCAGGTATGGGGGAACCTGGTGGGCTGCCGTCTATGGGGTCGCACAGAGTCGAACACGACTGAAGTGACTTAGCAGCAGCAGCAGCATCTAATTCTGGCAAAATTTGTTGAAAAGCATACCCTTTCCTGATTGAATTGACTTCACAGATTGTCAAGAATGAATTGATCATAATTGTGCTGGTCTTTTGCTCGACTTCATTCTATCTTATTGAGCTATATGTCAATGTGGTGTCACGTGTTGGTTACCATAATCATACAAATATAGACATACCATATATAAAGTTATATATATTTATATGACTATAGTAATCAATACATAACACTATATATACACATACACACATTAGGGTTAGTTTGCCAATTTGTATGAAAATATCTTGGGAGTTTTACAAGAAGTCTGTTGAGTGAGAATTGCCTCCTTAACAATGTTGAGCCTTCTCATTCCATAAATAAGATATGTATCTTCACTTATTTAGGCCTTTAATTTCTTTAAACAATGTTTTATAGTTTTCAGTGTTGTAATGTTGTATTATTTCTTCCTTAAATATTTGGCAGAATTCACGAGTAAAGTAATGTGGGCCTGCAGTTTTCTTTGTAGGAAAATTTTTTTAAAACCCTAAAAATTCAGGTTTTTTTTTTTTTTTTTTAGATAAATATGGGGGCTATGCAGGTTATTTATTTATTCTTAAATGAGTTTTGGCATTTTGTGTCTTTCAGAAAATTTTGTCTATTTCATTAAATTTGTTGAATTTATTGGCATAAAGTTGTTCATAATATTCACTTCTTATCTTTAGAATCTGTAGTGATGTCCCCTCTAACTTGTGATATTGATCATTCGTGGTTTTTTTGTGCTGATCAAACTCAGAAGATGTTTTCCACTTTTATTTATCTTTTCACATATCTAGTTTTTTGTTTCACAGATTTTTTTTCTATTGCTTTCCTGATTTTCATCTGATTCTGGCGCACTTGAAGAGAATGTAGACTGTGCTGCTGTCGGGCAGCATGTTCTGTCGATAATTATATCAAACTGGTTATAGAGTTCTGCAAACCTTCTGTATCTTTGATTTTTCTGTCTACTTGTTCTAGCTATCATTGAGAGAAGGGCATGAAAATAACCAACTGCAATGATAGATTTTCTTGTTTCACCATTTAGTTCCATCTTTTCCTTCTTCATGTTGTTGGAGCTCTGTTACTGGCCTTATAAATGTTTACAACTGTTGTATACTCTTGATTCTGATACCTGACCCTATATTCTATAACTGACCCTATTACCATTGTTGATGCTTAATTTGTCCCATGTTTGGCCAGGGTAAGTCCCATTAAGTTGGCTCCTAGGTCTTTTTGACATAATCTTAAATCTGAGGTATGATATGTTTCTGGTGTAACAAGATATTTCAAAGTGCATCTTGTACTTATCTTCTCTCAATCCTCGAATTGGCCATTTCTCCTAAGAGCCTGGTTCTTTTTGGTGGGAAATGTTATTTAGGTGAGCACAATCTGTGCGCTAGAGTTCCTGACTGCTACTCTGTGGTTGTCATATTTTCAAGCCTTTCCAATAGACAGAACTAGGACATGCATATTTTTTTAAAGAGAGAAAAATAGGGACTTCCCTGGTGGTCCGGTGGCTAAAATTCGACACTCCTAATGCAGGGGGCCTGGGTTTGACCCTTGGTCAGGGAACTAGATCCCACTTACCACAACTGAAGATCCTGCATGCCACAACTAAATATCCCACTTGCTGCAATGAAGATCAAAGATCCTGTGTGAAGATCCAACTGAGACCTGGTGCAGCCTAGATAAATAAATAAATATTTTAAAAAAGAAAAATAAAGCTCGAGTTTATAGTGATATTTCCAGAATTTATACACTTTGATTTTATACTTGTATTGCTTCTCTCTTGCTCTAAAAATATTAGTTATTTACAACTCTTACATAATTATTTATTGCTATATCGTACCACATAATAGCTTAAGAGTAATATTATGTATTATTTCTCATAATAAGATTATTGCTTACAGTTTAAAATTCCTTTGTGATTTCTTTTGTCCCTAGTTCATATTCAGAATACAGTATTTGAAGTATTGTGTTTAAAGTAATTTTTCTCTGTGGCTATGCTATCAACTTGATACTCAGTAAATACCTTTTGATTGAGTTTGTTTTACATTTTTAGAAATCTCTTTTTTTAAATTTTTGATTGGAGGATAATTGCTTTACAATATTGAGGTAGTTTCTGCCATACATCAACGTGAATCAGCCATAGGTATACATATGTCCTCCCCCTTTTTCTTTTTATTTATCTAAAATATTTACATGCTTCTAAACTCAAAACTATAAAACAAGGTTTATTCCAAGAAGTCTAAACCTTGTCCCCTAATCCTGTTTCCTCTCTGTTTTTTTTGTATAGGTGATAATTTAAAAATTGCTTTCTTAATATATCTTTCATTATTTATTCTTAAAAAACATAAGCAAAGACACATCTGTGTTTGTATTCCACTTCCTCTCCTTCTTTTTCAAAAGCTCTTCTATTCATTGCTGATTCCACAGATGTATATTCTGATTATTTCAAAGTTGTAAATAGGACTCTTCCTTACTCCTTATCACAGTGCATAGTATTCTGTTCCTGTGGATGTAGCATTGTTCATTCAACTAGTCCTCTACTCATGACATTTGGATGTTTTCAGTCTCCTGGTTTTGAAGATGATGCTGCAATAGAGTTCACAAAGTTTTGAATATTTTGCTATTTTATCTTTGAGATAGATTCTATATGTGGGATTGCTGGTCTGAGGAATGGATATCTATAAAATATAAATCTGTATGATTATATTTAATTTTATGTATAGTAATTTATATTATGTATAAAATGTAATATCATACATATATTATATATAACATATATAGGAACCTGGTGGGCTACAGTCCAGAGGGTCACAAAGAAGAAAAAAACCAACAAAGGGTCACAAAGAGCTGGATATGACTGAGCAACTAAGCATAATATGTATATAAAATTATATATGTAAAATTATCTTTAAAGAGGGTTTATGATGTGATGGTCCATGTGCATGAGGCCACTGGAATTCACATCATAAGAGCAATGGTTGAAGGATCTGGGCCAAGTGATGCTATATGGGGTGTTTTCATGTCCTACAGTTCCAGTTCCAGGGGAGACACCGCTTAATGCCTTTCCCCAGTGGTTATTTAAGGAAGTGGCATTTACTGGAGGCCCTGACATAAGGCATGGCTGGCCGAGGACCTCACCTCAGAGGGGTGCCCTGTAGAGAACCCAGGCTTAGAAAAAGTCCACAAGATTCCACCTTCTGACCCTTGGACTCTACCCTGCTGCCTTCGGCTTAACCCATCTCTGTTGAGTCTTTTAGTTTTATAATATTCAGTCATTTAAAAAATCATTTTATTTAGCCAATTATCATTTTATTATCTTCATATTTCCTAATTATTCTTATCTTAAAAAATTTGTTCTGTCTTAACTATTTCATTCTTTTAAATACTCTGGCTAATGAGTACATTTCCTTGTCTAACTTTCATTACACACCCTTCCCTTCGTATCTGGTCTTTGCATTCATTTCCACTTAGCCTTCTTTCAACTTTTTATTCTAAATTTATTAATCTTCTGCTATCTGTTTTTTGTTTTTTAATGTAAACTGTAAAACTGAATTCTCTTTAAGTGTTTCTGTGTTCCCTGTTGGTTGGCGGGCCCTTTGGGAACAGAACCCCTTGGCAGGTGGGTGGGGTAGGGTTCATCCTGAGGGAAAGCCTGGTGGGGTGAGGATCTTTCCCCCTCTGTTGGCTCCCTGCCTTTCCCCACGGAGCCCTTGATGACCCCTGACCTTAATGATCCAAGGGACTAGATGTTCCTCTTATTTCCCGTAACAATAAGCCATCAGTGATGACTAGTATTGAGACTCCAGGGAATATGGCTCCCAGAGAAGAGCAGGCTGAAGAGGGATATATGACTTGCTTTCAAATATTCATGAAAGGAGTAGACATATTCAGTCTTTTTTTAAAAAGTCTGTATTGTTTGTTTTAATATTGCTTCTGTTTCATGTTTTGGTTTTTTGGCTGCAAGACGTGTAGGATCGTAGTTCCCCGACCAGGGATGGAACAGGGGATAAGAATCCACCTGCCAATGCAGGAGGTGGGTTTGACTTCTGGTCTGAGAAGATCCCCCATGCCATGGAGCCGCTGTGCCCACGTGCCACAACTGCTGAGCCCACGCTCTAGGGCCCGTGAGCCACGACTGCTGAGCCCAGACACCTTAGAGCCTGCACACTGCAGCGCCTGGAGCTGTGCTCTGCAACGACAGCCGTCACCACGGTGAGAAGCCCGGGCGCCACAGCGAAGGGGAGCCCCTGCCCACCACAACCAGGGAAGGCCCGCGCGAAGCCACGAAGACCCAGTGCGGCCAAAAATAAAAATAAATAAGTAACTAAATAAAAGAGGTCTGCCAATGTTTGAGTCTCTGATTCTGAAGACTAGCTTCATCAGTTCTCTTTCCGTGGTTTGAAGGTTCAAGCTAAAAGTGCCCCTTTGCGATGGCCAGTTAGATTGAGTTTCTCACTTGTAACCAAAAGGGATCCTGACTCATGCAGTTATTACTGATGTTGTGTACAAAACATCATTTTATATTGATGGCTGATTTCAAATTTCTTAATAAGAATTCCTTTCTGAAGGAAATGGCAGCATCCAATCATTCAAGCTCTTAAACTGGCCTGGGGATGAAGTTCATAGATACTCCCCTGTGCCTTTTGCGCAGAGCCCAGCCCCCGCTACCAGCACACTTGCCACCTCCACTTGAAAGACTCATCCAAAGCACAACACTTGGTTTTTTTTCCCTCCCAAACCTGCTTCTCTCCTAGTCTTTCCCATCCCACAGATGGTCCTTTCATCCATTCATGTGGATTCTAAGTGAAAAGCTTAGGTGGTAGCCTTCATCATCCCCTTTTACTCCCTCTAGATCTAATCCATCAGCAAGTCCCGAATCCCCCTCTCCGTGGTATACTGGGCCCTGCCTTTCTCTCCATCCACAGCTTCTATTGTCTCCTGCTTGGACTCTGCAGTAGCTCCTTAACTGACTCCCTGCCTTTACTTCTTAGCCTTCTCCTGTCTCTTCTCCACACTGAAGCTCAAATGGGCCTTTAATTACACAAATCAGATCCTGTCATTTCCTCGCTTAAAACCGCCAATGGCTTTCCAGTGCCCGCAGAGCAAGATGCAGAGGCCTACAGTGGTCCGAAAAGCCCCAGCTGCTTTTATCAGACCCTGCCTGCTTCTCCAGCTTCAGTTCCTATCACTCTGTCCCCGCTTACTACGCTCCAGCCATAGAGTCTTTCTGTCCCTTGTTTGTGACTCAGAGCCTTTGTAACAGCCATTCCTTCTACTGGAACATCTACACCCAAACTTGGGGAGCTGGCTCTATAACCTTAAGGGCTCAGTAACCTTGTCAGGGGTGCCTTTGAATATGGTATAGTAGTATTTACTACCATTTAAAATTACTGTGTTTAGGGACTTTCTTCCTTGGCAGTCCAGTGGTTGAGCCTTTGCCTTCCAGTGCAAGGGGCGCAGGTTCAATCCCTGGTTGGGGAGCTAAAGATCCCACATGCCTTGCAATCAAAAAACCAAAACATGAAACAGCTGCAATATTGTAACAAATTCAATAAAGACTTTAAAAATGGTCCACATCAAAAAAATCTTAAAAAATTATTTTGTTAAGTGGCAATTGCTTATTTCCTACCATTAGGATATTAATTCCTCCTGTGGTGAGCTAATAGGTACTCGATAAAGAATGAATGAATGAATGGAAGATAAGGGGGCAATACATGGGTGTAAACTCTAAAGTTTCGAAGAGAACATGCTCTTGTTGCTGCTGGTTTACTTTGCAGATTCAGGCGTGGAGCCTGGTTTTCAGAAAGTTCTCCGGAGTCTTCCCAAGGTGTTGGCCCTGAGTGTTTGCCGTGCCCCAGGCGGCTTCCCGTCTAGCTGAAGAGTAGTGTTCCCGCCAGAAGCCAATGAGAAAACAGAGCGGGTACGGACAGTGACTTGGCGTTTAGAATAACCAAGGACTTGGATTTCTCCCTCCTTTGGTCTGTTATAAGTCCATTACCCCTTTCTTTCTTTTCTGGCTGCTGGCTTGGCATGTGGGTTCTCGGCTCTCTGACCAGGGATCAAACGCACACCCCCTGCATTGGGAGCACAGAGTCTTAACCACTGGACTGCCAGAGAAGTCCAACTTGGTGTGTATGAGAATCAGCTTGGAGATGGTACAGTGCAGATTCCTGGGCGGCAGCCCATGATTCTGTGAAGCCCTGGAACTGGACTGTGTGAAGAGGTAAGCGCTAGGTGACCAATGCATCTGTGCTGGCCTGGGGCACCTGTTTTAGCACCTAAGGTCTCTTTCCTGAAAACCACTCAGTCCCTGGCAAACCAGGTGGGTCAGTCACCCTCAACTGAAGGTGTTCAGAGAGAGGCAAATGGCAGCTGATGGAATTGCTTACAATGGCTTCTTGAAGGAGTTGAGATAGAACCGTTTCCCATCCTAGACTTGGATGTTGGCTGTCTCCTTGGCCCCACCTTTGGATAAGTCTAGGTTTCCTAGGCACTGAGCCCAAACAGGAAAGGAAACCACTATTTTTTGAATGCTTGCAGTAATCTGGCCCCTGCTGTAAAGCCTTTATTATCTAATCTATTCCTCAGCAGCCTTTTTATTGCTCCTGTTTTAGAGGCAGGACACTGAGGCTTGTGAAGTTGTGTGATTGTCTGAGCTCAGACATATTCCAACCAGTGGCGATGGGAGTGATTCAGTTGCCTGACGCAGAAGCCCAGGCCCTTTCCTTGTATTTTGCTATGTGTATGGGTGTGTGTGTGTATGTGTGTGAGAGAGAGAGAGAGGTGGCTGGGACCTCAGCTTGACAGTCATCCATCAGCTCTCAGGATGGGGCTCTCCTGGGATCTAGGAAAGACCCCCAGGGACTAGGCTGAAAAGGAAGAGGCACCCCCGAGGTGTCTTCGCGCTGGCCCTGACCTAGCCGCACCGATGGCCCTCTACCACCAGGTGGTGCTGTGGCTCTGTGGCAGAGGGCTCCCTCAGCAGAGACACTGGGCAGGACCAGCCATTGAGCTTTATCTGCGGCCTACTGGGCAACCTGGGGCCTGTCCAGAGCTTTCTGCCTTTCCTGGACTCTGGCAGGCCAAGAAGAGAGGGGAGAGGGCTTGGACCAGTGCAGAGTCATGACTATGAGGGTGTCAGTGGAGTGCGGCTGTCAGGAGGAGGGGCAGGGACTGTCTCCCGGCACTAATGGGACCCTGGCCCAGATCACCTCCCAGTGTGCTCAGAACACATTGGGAAAGTGGACTTGCTCCGCCATGGTGGGTGCAGCGGGTAGGGCTTGGGCAGAGAAAAGGTACTTTTCTCATCCTGCAGGCTGTTCTGTCCAGTGAAGACCTGGGCGGGGGCAGGGATGACCCCCAGTCATCTGCCTGTCACCTCCCTGCTGTAGCCAGGCCACACAAAGATCCCAACTGGCCTCTGGCTGCCCCTGCCATTTGGGAAAACGGCTCCTAGGATGCTGGCCCTTGCGAGCTGATCTCGTATCACTTGTTTCCTATGTAAGGACTCATCCAAGGCTTTGCCCCAGGGCTCAGGGGCATCATTGAGATTCATATCAAAAGACGACATCACTGGGACAAACTTTTAACTCTTCTTCAAAGCCCACACCAGTGCCAGAAAGCCAGGTTTTGCTAGGTATCAGCTGCTTAGGAAATGGCAACCCACTTCAATATTCTCGCCTGAAAAATCCCACGGACAGAAGAGCCTGGAGGGCTACAATCCAAAGGTTTGCAAAGAACTGAACATGACGGAGCAAATGAGCACGAGCTCAGGGGCTTCGCAGTGGGCTGGGCAGGAGGGTTGATGTCAGAGCAGAAAGTAATGTCTGAACTCAAAGGCTCCAGCTTCCCTCCGGCTCCTTAATGCTTTCCCAAGTGGGTGGCCTGTCAGTCCCCACGCTCCTCAGCCCCCCAGCCTGCCTCAGTGTAGCAAAACCGCCCTGAGAGCAGATTGTGAGGGTGGGGAAGAGGGAGGGAAGGTACTGGGGGGCTTTGGGAAAGAGGGGTGCTTGGACATGGGACAGGGGAGCAGAAAGCAGAGGGGGGCTGCTGGAGACAAACTTGTTCACTTTTGCAGTTCTGCCATTCCCTGTTGTCTGAGCTGGGGGCTGGGGCAGAAATTCCCTTAGGATTTTTAGTTTTGGTTGGCTGCACAGCTTGTGGGATCTTAGTTCCTTGACCACGGATTAAACCCAGACCTGGGAAGTGAAAGTGTGGAGTCCTAACCACTGGACCACCAGGAATTTTTTTAAATATTAAATTTTCATTCGTCAGCTGTTCATGTAGACTCAATGAAAACATTTTGTTGGATTTATATTTAAGATGCCATCTTTTTTTTTTTTAGTCATTAGTTAATATATTCGAAGTTTCAAAATTCAAAGGGTTCAAAATAAATAAACTTCTCCTGTTTAATAGATAAAAGCCCAAGCTAATGTTTCCAACAAAAAGGCAGCATGGATGTTAAAAGACATAGGTGGAAAAATGTGTTAAGGGTATGGAAAACTCTTCCCCTGAGGCTTGCTTGCCTTTTATTTTGAGATTTTTGGGTGTACAGAAGTTTCAGCGTTTTGTTAAGTCACGTCTTTCCCTGTATGAGCTTTTCTTTGCCTGGAAAGTCATTGCCCATCCTGAGATCTGCTCCCCATTCTTTTTCTTCAGTTGTCTTTTCATGGCTTCATAGTTTGCCGCCTCAGCCACCTAGAGGAATTTCAGTTAGTGCTGTGGTTCTGAGATGGAGCGGGGAGCTGGTGTGGCCACCTGAGGGTGGTGCCTGTCAAGGCTACCTGGGCTCGACTCCAGCCCTGTCTCTGAACTAAACACAGTCTCCCCACTTGGCAGTTACTCACAGCAGGACAAAGACTGAGGGGGCCAGCGTCCTTCTTGCTGGGGCAGAGGGCCTGGGGGAATTGACCCTGCCATGGGGAGGATCTGGGGCATGGTAGCACCAACTCTGGCCACAGTCTGGGCACCCTAGTCAGCTCGTCTGAGATGCAAGTGTCCTCAG